GCCGGGATAATCATCATTTTTCACAATAGGCGTTTTCTAAATGAATGAAATGTACAGGGAATATCATAATACAATAATCTTTATCAATAATAATAATAATAATAAGGAATAATATTATATAATAATCGAATAGTCAATGATTAGGAAACAAGCGAAGTGCACATTCGCGCTTCGAGAACAACTATACACAGAACTCTTCACGTTTAGAGGAAGCGTACTAAAAATATCGCTATTACAATATTCTTGTTACATATACTTCACTCATATTTTTTCTTCGCCTTCTTCCGATTCGGAAACGAATGAAATTGCGAACGAAAGTATTATTCTCCTTTCGTCCTCTCATATGACGTACGATTGTTTTACAAAACAATGATATGGCTAGATCGCAATTGGAATTTTCTTCTCAATTCGCGTTCGTGTTTACGATTATTACTTTTTTTTTTATTAAAATCGAATGTACAGTAACACTGTTTGTGATATGTGTCTAGAAAACGTACGTCACTTTTCTTGAATCTTCGCGTCTTATAGCGAATTCGGTTGCGCACTAACTACTAGATGTAGAAACGTAATATAAACGCTCTAATTGACAAAATAAAAATATCAAATGTACATTCTATCAAATAGTACGCTAAATTATTGGCTCAATTTTACATCCTGCGAGTAAGTCTTTTCGTCAATTTGTGTACATTTCTATGTTTGCTTTAATATTTATATATAATGCTTATATATATATTTAAGTCGCAATAGTGCGCATTGACGCATCCAACCAAATTTGCTATTAGATCAATTTTTCTCCTATTCTTTCTCTCTCTTTCTTTACTTCTCGCATTACTTATCATTCGTACATTTTTGTTAAATTCTAGATTACAACGTCTTATTAAACCGGCGGGCGATCTGAGAGACGCGAAAAAAAGTAAAAAAATAATGTTTACACTTTTATACAATTATATCTTCTGAATTTTTGAAGACTGATATTCGGATAAAGAAATGATCTTCATCGACGGCACATAAACGCTTAAGTATTTGTTCATTAATACTTAAAATGCAATGTGTGGAAATACGTCGCTTCACCCGCACGGTCGCTTTGCTACCTTTATAGTAGTATTATTATTATTATTATTATTGCATTGGCTCTTTTATCTTTTCTTTTTTCTTCATTCATTCATCGTTAAATTCCTGAACTCTGAGGTAGACAGTTCCGGGTTGACATTACGTAGTAAAAATGGCAAGAGTGTGATATATTACCATGTTACCGTGTTACCGTTATATATTAAACGTCGATATTATTATGTTTACCTTTCTTTAATACAATAAACAGAATAGGGCTCGAAAGGATATCGCGCTTGCACTTATGACATATGAATACATGATACACCGCTGTGTGCACACATTCTCTTTCATACAGGATATTTCTAAAATGACATTATTTTGTAACTGGCAATGATGGCCAGCTTCGGACATTCGCTAATGCGTATGCCACGTCTGCAAAGTACAGTTGTATCTTAGAAATAAAGAATAAAGGGATGTTAATTAGGTTTCCTTAATGAACCCAATTTTCAATGAATCCCGATGTCTCTCTCTCTCTCTCTCTCCCCCCCCCTCTGCAAATATAATATTCTTTTAGAAGTACCCTATATGATATTTATCGTAACAGTCACGCAATCTTTGAGGCACTTGCGAAATTATTAATATAAATATATTATTAATTAATTATTAATTATGTTATTATTATATTAATATTAGATATTATTAATATATATATTAATATATATATTAATAATATCTGACCGCAAAAGGCGGGCTACTATAACATTACAGTATTAAGTATTAAACGTTATTAATACCAATATTTTAAATTTATCGAAAAAGCTTTAACAAACAATTTGGAATATGCAACGAAAATCATAAAATTTTTATTTTTGGTTATTTATTAAAAGGACTGAATGCCTAAAAAATGCGGACCGTAACGATAAATGCATGAACTTAATATACAAGATATAAAATATGTACAATTATATTATATATAAACAGATTATGTTTTTAATATATGAAACAATTGCAGAACAAATTTAATCGAAAGATCAACATAATCGACATTGGAGATAATTCTCTTTAAACAACAACGGTTGAATGAAGATTTAAATAATTAAAATCGCATGAAATTATTGGCGCACCTGAAATCGGTCGCTCGATTCGACAACAACCGGCGGAAACAATTATGCGTACCTGGGCGTTATTTCGTTATAATGACGTGAACATTTACCCACAATTGCATGCTTGCATGCGCCGAACGACGCGTGGCTCGAAGGGAAATTCGCTCCAAAGGGTTGGATTGCAGCTTCGGTGATTAGCTCGTTTTGCCAGTAATTAATCAGGGATCGATTAATCAGTGTTGTCAATATGCGAAACGATTGAGCTGCGAAAATATCTAATTGGCAAATTTCAATATAGAGAATATATGAACATGTGAACAACGATCACTAATAAATAATTAGTATCTTAAGATATTTAATATAAAAAGATATATTAATAATAAATAAAATAAAAATATCAAAATACTTTTTTTCTCAGATCAATAGAGTGCGTGTTACTAATATTAAAACATTAGTTAATTATACTGATAATAGAAAAATTTATTTATATAATTGAATATAATATAAAAATTCCAAGAAAAATATAGATTGAATGTAGATGTATAAATAATTTAAGTTTAATATATAAATTAAAATTAAGTAAAAAGGCTCAATAAATTAAATAATGTAACAAAAAAGGGCTACGAGCCTAAAACAAATAGTTTAATATAAATTTGACTTACATAAAATAAAGATGAAAATAAACAATCATATAAAACAATGTTAACATAATAAATAAATCCAATCATAAAATGTTCAACATAAACGTAATCTGAACCAAATCCAATTATATAAATATAACTCATAAAAGCGCAGAATATACGTCATCATGTAAAATATCTTCTTATGATCATTGAGATCTATTAAATATTTAATATTAAAAGTAACTCAATAGTCATATTATATTACAATACTAATTTTCCATCAACATTAATAATAACCTGATATTATGTCAAAACGTTTGTTTTATATGATTATTTATTTTCATCTTTATTTTATGTAAGTCAAATTTATATTAAACGATTTGTTTTAGGCTCGTAAAAATTTAATTTTTCTTTCAAATTAATAAATGAACTCACGTTATCAAGATTTTTTACGAAAGTAATATAAAAATTGGAGCGAAATTCAATTCGAGCAACGCACAGATCGTATAACCAAAGCTTATCTAACTTTTAATTAAAACTTTTAAATAAACAAATGAGGCACTGATGTGAGAATGTGCCTGGTCAACAATTGGAATGCACATCAAAAGGAATGTAAAGTACATTCTGTTATAGATAGAAACCTTAGAGATTCTCTTATCAATCGAACATTTTCGGAATTATCCGAAAATAAAAAGAGATTTAAATTTAATAAAAATTTTAAATATTAAATTTTATAAAAATTTAAATAAAATTTTCTATTGTCATTACTGAACACGTAAAAGAAAAAAGAAAATTCATAATATGTACAAGATTTTACTATATACTGTACTACAATAATCATTTTATTAAATTTACATTCAATTAAATAGTTAATAAAAAATATTTTTAAAAAAGCAGGAGTAAATTTCTGCTTATCGATATAAGTTTTTATGTCAATTATGCTAAATATTTCTATTTTTGATAAAAAGATTTTTATACTTAGTTTTATATTTTAATTCAATCAAGGAACTGTAAGAACTTTACTATTCTGATATTGAGTTTTACATCAATTTTATCTTTACAATTTATGTTAATATAAATAATAATATTAACAATTATAATATTGATGATTACAATGTAGTTATAATCATTAATAATGTTTAAAAAATTATTACGTTTCTATCCATAACATGTTGCATGCATTCTGAAATATAAATTTTTGTAAAACATGATATGTACACACACATATATATATATGTGTGTACATATCATGTTTTACAAAAAGAAAATATGAAACATGTGCATAATGATAAGTTTGTACACAATACAATTAATAAAAGTAAATTTTAATAAATGTAGAAACTTATGCTGATAAAGTACAAAATAAAATATGGTTGTAAATGCATAATTATTAATAGTAACTTTAATACCAAAGGTATAAAAAAGTACGTTTATTGGCCTTTCTCTTACGGTTGTAATTTCATATTAAACAACCTTTTTTTATTTTATACTATTATCAATAATTATAATATAATAATAATATACACTTATATTTTTTTCAATATACTTTTTAAAGTTTGTAAGTTCAATATCGTATCGATATTTTAATTTCCCAATCACTTATATGACATTTCCAATTCTTTCGAGATCGTCGTCAGAAACATCAGATTATTGAATTAAAGTCACGATCAATTGAATCAAGCAATTGATGTGACAAAAACAATAGAAAAAGATTTTACGCCATTTTGTCGAAATCAATTCTTAATTTCGCAATGATTCTTGTTCTGTTATAAAAGTGTCGTACAAAACGATTCTTTTTTTTTTATATTATGTGTCTGAGAAAAACACATCAGTGATTTCGATTTATTAAAGAGAGAGTTTAATCTTTTTATCAAATTATTTTGGCTTGGAGAATATTGGGCTCCTTCAACTCGAATAGACATTAAGCATTTAATACTATGTATCGGA